AAGTCAGAGATAGTTGATTTGAAAAACTGTTTGAGACATAGAGGAAAATCTGTCCAACAGCAGGGCTTCCTGGCACTAGGGAATGAGATAAGCAGGGTTTTTAGCAGTTGGTTGGCTTCAAGTGGCTGCTTTGGAGAACTGTTTTTGTTTGCTACGCTGGGTGACATGGGTGGTGTGGACTATTCATCCCTAGTCGTCTGCTTCCAGGATGATGACCTGCTCAGGGTCACACGGCCGGGAAGTGGCAGAGTCAGGGCTCAGTGGAAGCACCACGTGGCTCTGAGGCTTAGTCTCTCCGATTAGCCAGTGAACTCCGCTTCCAGTCCTAATGACCCTGCTTCCAACCAGGCACTTGTTCCACAGCCTGGGAGCCCACAGGCACAGGCCCGGGGCTCTGGCCACAGTGCGGCAGGAATGCTCACGGCTCCTCTGCTGCGGTCGCCGTCACGTGGCTCAGGCTGGAGCACACTGTGAGATCCACAGTGGCCGTAGGGAAAGGCTGCCACTCGTGGCCCAGCTCATCCTGCCTCACCTCCAGGTACCTTCCCCCCCAGCTCCACTGGGCGGTGTCATCCTGCTCACAATGACTTGCATCTGACACCTCCCCACCAGCTCTGTGGGTTCTCATGCCAGTTACCACCACTCCCTGGCTGTTTCTCTTCCTCTTCCTCCTCCAGCTTCCTCAACACATTCTGGTGTCCTTTCTGCCCAAAGCCCAAAGCCCAGCCAAAACTTTTTTTAAAAAAAATTGATGTTCTTGATTTAAAAAAGCTCTCAAGAAAGAAAACTTGAAAAACAAAATGTGTGCATACATATGCAGAGCCAAAGATCACCTGTGTGTGTGTGTGTGTGTTTTTTTAAGATTTATGTATTAGGCCGGCGCCGTGGCTCAATAGGCTAATCTTCCACCTGCAGCGCCAGCACACTGGGTTCTAGTCACAGTCAGGCGCCGGATTCTGTCCCGGTTGCCCCTCTTCCAGGCCAGCTCTTTGCTGTAGCCCAGGAGTGCAGTGGAGGATGGCCCAAGTCCTTTGGCCCTGCACCCACATGGGAGACCAGGAGAGGCACCTGGCTCCTGGCTTCAGATTGGCGCAGTGCGCTGGCCACAGTGCGCCGGCCACAGTGCGCCGGCAGTGGTGGCCACTGGAGGGTGAACCAACAGCAAAAGGAAGACCTTTCTCTATGTCTCTCTCCCATTGTCCACTCTGCTTGCCAAAAAAAATAAAATAAAATAAAATAAAGATTTATGTATTTATTTGAGAGGAGAGGCAGAGAGAGTGAGAGAGAGAGAGAGATCTTCCATCAACTGGCTCACCCCCCAATTGGCCGCAATGGCTGAAGCTGCGCCAATCTGAACCCAGGAACCAGGAGCTTCTTCTAGGTCTCCCGCGTGGGTGCAGAGGCCCAAGGATTTGGTCCAACTTCTACTGCTTTCCCAGGCCATAGCAGAGAGCTGGATCTGAAGTGGAGCAGCCAGGACTCAAACCAGCGCCCATATGGGATGCCAGCACTGCAGGCCACAGCTTTACCCGCTATCCCACAGCGCCGGCCCCTGAGTTTTCGCTATGACTCTTTGTTTATTTGAAAGGCTGGGTTTCAGAGAGGGAGAGAGAGAAATCTTCCAACTACTGGTTCACTTCCCAAATGGCCCCAATGGCTGGAGCTAGGCCAGCCTGAAGGCAGGAGGCAGGGGCTTCATCTGGGTCTCCTACATGGGTGCAGGGGCCCAAGAACTTGGGCCACCTTCCACTGCTTTCCCAGACACAGTAGCAGGAAGCTGGATCGGAAGTGAAGCGGCAGGGACAGAACCAATATCCATATGGGATGCTGGCGCTGCAGATGGCAGCTTAACTCACTGCATCCCATGCTAGCCCCGCCTCACACATTTTTTCTGTTTACAAATGTACAATTTAATGTCTGAGAATTCTCTGCAACAAAGAGACCTTGAGAAATGAGAATAGCTACCTGCTATAGTAAGACATTCTACCTGTGCTCTATGTTAATCATTTCAGATCCTCACAGTCACTTTATTAAATAGGTATTATAGTTGTTAGGCTGACTCATCATAAATTCACCCACTCATCCCATGTTAGCATTTACTGGCTACTTCCAATTTGCTGCACTGCTCTATGCACCTGGACTGTGTCAGTGAACAACATGAAATAGATGAAAACAGTGAGCAGACATTGGGCCACCTGCAGCCCATATCAAAGTGTCTGGGTTAGAGTAGCAGCTGCGCTCACTTACTACCAAGATGCACACTGGGAAGCAGCAGGTGATGGCAAGTGCTCGGGTTCCTGCACTGGGTGGAAAACCCAGATGGAGTTCCTGGCTCCTGGCTTTGGCCTGGCCCAGCCCTGGCTATTGTAGGTATTTTGAGAATAAACCAGTGGCTATCTTTCTCTGTCTTCCCTTCTCTGTCACTCTGCTTTTCAAAGAAATAAATCTGGGGGAAAAAAAGAAAGAAAATGAAAATAAGGGTTGTTGTTTTGCTTAGTGCTTAAAATACTGATTAGGACATCCCTTCTCACTGATTTCTATTTTTATTTTTTTGAGATATATTTATTTATCCCAAAGGCAGAGTTACAGAGAGAGAGGGAAAGAGAGATCTTCCATCCACTGGTTCATTCCCCAGATGGCTAAAACAGTGGGGGCTGATTCGGGCCAAAACCAGGGGCCTGGAACTCCATCTGTGTCTCCCACATGGGTGGCAGGGGCCCAAAGACTTCAGCAATCTCCCACTGCTTTCTTAGTTGCATTAGCAGGGAGCTGGATTGGGATTGTGCCAGCAGGGATGGTAACTGGTGCCCAAACGGGATGCTGGTGCCACAATGCCAGTGCCTTGCCAATATCTTTATCATCACTTACTTCAGGGACTGGCATTAAACATTCTGGCTAATTCATTGCTGTGGGTGGCTGTCCCATGCATTTGGCTTGGCAGTCCCCAAGCATCAACCCAGCAGATACCAGTAACTCCCTCACCACCAGTAGTAACAACAAAGTGTTCTAGCCAAATGTCCCTAATGTGTATAACATTGCCCCAGGTATGGCACTGTGATGCAGTGGGTTAAAGCCCCAGCCTGCAGCGCTGGCATCCCATATGGGCACCGGTTCAAGCCCTGGCTGCTCCACTTCTGATCGAGCTCTCTGCTATAGCCTGGGAAAGCAGAAGATGGCGCGGCTCCTTGGGCCCTGCACCCATGTAGGAGAATTGGAAGAAGCTCCTGGCTCCTGGCTTCAGATCAGCTCAGCACTGGCTGCTGCGGTCATTTGGGGAGTGAACCAACAGAATGGAAAACCTCTCTAACTCTTTAAAAAAAAAAAAAAAAAAAAAAAGGCATTGTCCCAGGAAACACTCACCTAATTTGTCTGATTTGTTTAACCCTCTTCTACTCTATCCCCTCCATGGATTCCAGAGACTGAAGCCTTCTTATAACTCTTCCAGCGCAGTCCCAGGACAGCATGTTAGAGAAGCGCCATCTCAGGCCCAGCCTCAGTTCACATGTTTAGGCTCTGGACTTTCAGTAAGCTGATTCCCACGCTTGTTTGGTTAGCGCTGCCTCCTCTCTTACTTGAGGTGACTCTTACTTGGAACAGAAGTTCCTGGTCCTTCCCCTGAAGGTTGTGATTCCACTGGTCGAGAGCGGAGTCTGGGGGCCAGCACTGTGGTGCAGCGGGTTAACGCCCTGGCCTGAAGCGCTGGCATCCCATATGGGCGCTGGTTCGAGACCCAGATATTCCACTTCCAATCCAGCTCTGTGCTATGGCCTGGGATAGCAGTGGAGGATGGCCCGAGTCCTTGGGCCCCTGCACCTGGGTGGGAGATCTGGAAGAAGCTCCTGGCTCTTGGCTTTGGATCGGCACAGCTCTGGCCATTGTGGCCAACTGGGGAGTGAACCAGAGGATGGTAGACCTCTCTCTCTCTCTGCCTCTCCTCTCTCTGTGTGTGTGTGTATATATATATATATATATTTGGACAGGCAGAATTAGACAGTGAGACAGAGAGATAGAGAGAAAGGTCTTCCTTCCGTTGCTTCACCCCCCCTAAATGGCCGATATGGTCAGCATGCTGCGCTGATCCAAAGCCAGAAGCCAGGTGCTTCCTCCTGATCTCTCATGTGGGTGCAGGGCCCAAGGACTTGGGCCATCCTCCACTGCCTTCCTGGGCCACAGCAGAGGGCTGGACTGGAAGAGGAGCAAATGGGACAGAACCCGGTGCCCCAACAGAGGCTAGAATCCCGGGTGCCGGCGCCATAGGCGGAGGATTAGCCTAGTGAGCTGCGGTGCCGGCCTCTGTATAACTCTTTTAAATAAATAAATCTTAAAAAAAAAAAAAAAGGAGTGAAAGGAGTGGAATCTGAGGCCAGGCAGGAGCCAGGAGATTCTTCTGGGTCTCTCATGCTCTTATGTGGGTGCGGGGGTCTAAGTACTTAGGACATCTTCCACCGCTTTTCCGAGGCCATTAGCAGGGAGTTGGTTCAGAAGTGGAACAGCCAGGACTCTAATGCATATGGGATGCTGGCACAGCAGGCAGCAGCTTTAACCACTCCACCACAACACTGGCCCCTCTAAAAGCACTTCTAAGAGAGAAATAAGATTTAATTCTGTAACTTGGCCCACAAGTTAATTCCAAGGTCTTGAAATAACCTTTTTTCCTTATATGTACCTAAGGTGTTTCTTTAAAATTGAAGTAAAACTCACATAACAAAAAATTAACCATTTAAAATGTATAATTCAGTGGCTTTACTAAATTCACAATGTTATGCGACTACCACCTCTACCAAGTTCCAGAATATTTTCGCTACCCCAAAATAAAACCTGAAGCCATTATGCAATTACTCTCCATTCTACCCCTAGACTCTGGAAATCAGTAGAAACGTTACGTTTTAAGTAATGAATTTAAAAGGTATAAAGTATACAAGTAAAAACGACATTGACTTTGGATGACCACAGAATTGCTTCTTGTCCTACAGAAAAGAGCACAGTGTGGGTTTTTAAAATAATCTCAGAAATTCCAACTTTTATTAAACATTTTATATACAGATATCACATCTTGATAAAAATGTCCAGATTTTTATATATTCAATGTACAAGTGATCATGTATATTTTTAACAGTAAAAATGAAATGGCACAAGTTTTAGCCACATAAAAATATGTACAAGGACTCAAGACAGGCTTTGTTTTTTGGCTTACAATAGTATGTGTAGATACTACACAGAAAATGTAATTTCAGAAAAGTAAAATATCATTAAATTCCTTTTTCTTAAAACTTTAAAATTCATGACAATACCAATGGACAACTAAATCTCAGATTAATTCAAATCAGCAACAGACACAGGTTAAACATTTCGTGTTTTAAAAAACAATAATTTGCAATTAAAAACATATGCATTTGATAACATCTCTCAAAATAAGAATGCCTTATGCATGTCCTTCCAGATTCTGGAAATACACTAGAAAAAGTGAGTGCAGAAGAACTGATTCTTTGGAAAGCTGTACCCCTTGTACTAGAAAACACGATGCACCACTAATACTGAGAACAAAGAGGGGAAGTGATCAGCAGCCGCTAGACTGCAAGGGCACGAGGGGATTTTAATGAGATTTCCAACAGCGTTTCAAATACTCTCAGGGAATCAATCAGATATGGAGAATGACTGACCTTCGGATCTCACAAATGGTAAGTGTATCATATGTTACAGGGTTTCCTAACAGGAAAATTGGGTCCTAAAAACTTTATCTCAACCTCATTCTATTGGTTTGAGAAACAGTCTCCTATTTTTAAAATTACATGACTTAATATTTTCAGGTACAGTTAGGTTAATGCCATGCAAAACAAAAGGCTCGTAGTTTTAAAAAGGAGCAAGCACCCCTTTTATTGGCTTTTGACACCTAGCAAAGAGGGCTCAGGGTGGAGAGGCAGGAGTGAGGGGTGAGGCAGGGGTTCAGGTGCAAGTCTGCTCCTGCTGAGGGCAGGAAGGGCACAGGCAGGGTTCTGGACAACCAGGAGCAGGAGTGGCACCTGGACTGGAGCTGCCACAGAGGGCCGGACACAGGCCAGTGCCTCATCCTCTGGCCAGACACTACAGGAACCAATTCTTACCTTCAAGATTAACTTGAAAATACAAATCTCAAAGCATACTTACCAAAAATAGGTTATTTAGCCTTATATTACAAAGCACAGAAGAAGACATTTGATTGTTTTGAAAAGAGAGCTGAAAAACTCTGAAGTTTTTCTTAATACTAAAAACTAATCCAGGCCAGCACCGCGGCTCACTTGGATAAACCTCCCACCTGTGGCACTGGCACCCCAGGTTCTAGTCCCAGTTGGGGCGCTAGATTCTGTCCTGATTGCTCCTCTTCCAGGCCAGCTCTCTGCTGTGGCCTGGGAAGGCAGTGGAGGATGGCCCAAGTGCTTGGGCCCTGCACCTGTATGGGAGACCAGGAGGAGGCACCTGGCTCCTGGCTTCGGATCGGCGCAGCACACCGGCCATGGCAGCCATTTGGGGGGTGAATCAACGGAAAAAAGAGGACCTTTCTCTCTGTCTCTCTCTCACTGTCTAACTCTGCCTGTCCAAAAAAAAAAAAAAAAAAAAATCCAGGAAACATTTAAAAATTCTACGACTACTATTTTTAAAAGGCACTTAAAACATTCCTTTCCTTTTTTAAGATTTATTGATTTATTATTTGAGAGGCAGAGGCAGAAAGAGAGAGGGGTCTTCCATCCTCTGGTTCACTCCTGAATTGGCTGCAATGGCAGGAGCTGCACCAATCCAAAGCTAGGAACCAGGAGCTTCCTCAGGGTCTCCCATGCAGGTGCAGAAGCCCAAGGACTTGGGCCATCTTCCACTGCTTTCCCAGGCCATAGCAGATAGCTGGATTGTAAGTGGAGCAGTTGGGTCTTGAACTGGTGCCCACATAGGATGCCGGCACTGTAGGCAGTGGCTTTACCCGCTACACCACAGCGCCGGTCCCAAAAACATTAGTTTTCAATTCAACTCAAAATACATCTTTGTCAACTACATTTTAGACAAATGCTTTTTAAAAAAGCGCTTAATTTTGGTTCAGTGTTTCTTGTAGCCCAGTGATATTTACCATCCACAAGGCCAAAAAGTGTGGAGGACGGAGCCCCAGATTTCTGCAGAAGCTGAAAGTGCTTTTATCAGAAACAGATGAAGTCAGTGATTCGCTCTCTCACTGACGACATCCTGTAGTCGTTTAAGCAAAACATCGTCATTTTCCTGACAGAGGCGTTTGGCAGGTGATTCTGCCTCACTGTCAATGGCTATTGCTCGCTTCTTGGTCCTCTGTTCACCTTGCCTTATCATGTTGTTGATATCTTTCAAACTCTGCAAAAACAGAGGACAGCTGTGAGTAAAATGGGAGGGAAAGGGAAACTGCTGCAAACAAGCTAAGTGGCTTTCTTCCTCTTCTCTGTTCTCTAAATCTACACACTGGGGGAGAGATTATGTTTTTAATCTAGACGAACCTAATAAAGGCGGGTAGAACTGATTCTTTCTGGTAAATTTTAAAAACTGAATTTCCTTATGATTGTAGTTCTGAAAATAATAGTCCCCAGATTCCAGGCAGCAGCAGCAGCTACAAAGTTGTCAGAAATGCAAATCTCAAGCCTCTCCTATAACTGTTGAATCACGCATTCTGGGGGTGGGATTGAGCAATCTATCTTTAAAGACTTATTTACTTATTTATTTGAAAGAGCAGTAGAAAGAGAGAGAGAGAGAGAGAGGGAGGGAGGGAGGGAGGGAGGTCGTCCACCCACCAGTTCACTCCCCGAGTGATTCTGATTTATAATTTCAAAATCACTGTCTCAGGAGTCAACTGTTCCAATCTTCAATATTATGCAACATTCTCTTCTAAACATACTTACTGGAAATGAATTTCTATCAAGAAAAACATTCTGAGACACACCACATCCCAGTCAACTCTGTTTTCTAAGCACAGCGAGAAAGCAATGGGTGTTTGTGAACAGGAGACTGAGGAACTATGCTACTACTGAATGTAGACTGAAATTATAATCTGCCTCACTATAATTTCTTCCAGTTGATAAGAATTCTAGCTTTTGTCGAAATACTAAACTTATTTGCTTGAAAGTCCTTTAAATACCTGGAGATAGCAAACGTGTCCCTGACCCAGCTTCTTCATCGTACCAGGGAGAGGGAGATTAGCACAGAGATGTCCATGTGGAATACAGAAGGCCTCTGTTTCCAGACTTCCTGGCTGCCATCAGTCAAGCAGACCATAACTTTCTTTAAGCCTGCACGTGTACCATCCTGCATGTCTAACCACTTGCAGGTCTTTTTCACTGGTCCCTCAAGCTTGAACACTGGAGAGAATCACTGGACTATCACATTGTACATGCTATACAGTAGCTCGTCAACAGCAGTGGATTCAACTACCTCAACTGAGATACTGCCTTTTTTTTTTTTTTTTAACATATTGGTCTTGATCATTGGTAATACATCATTGTTAAAAGTCCATACTTTATTAGTAATAATTTGCCAAAACAAAAACCAAGATTCATTACTGATGGATAACTTATGTATTTATTTGTATCTGTATATTTTTATTTATTTGTATTATTGTATATGTATTTATATGTATATAAATGACTAAATCTGTGTGCACCTTACCTTAGAAGGGCTGCCGTTGAATCTGTAGAGCAGGGCGCTCCTTGGCGTGAGGCCAGACCCATTCTTGTGTGGGGAAACATAAATAGAGTGCTGCTGGGAAACACGGCGTGGTGAGCCTGGCTGTTGCTTAATATGAGGAAAAGGAGAGAGTGGTGGCACATCCATCTGGAATAAACCAAAAGCCAGACTTTCTGTTTTTATTTTTTTAAGTGGGAGGGAGGGAGAGAAACAGACAGACAAACAGACGCCATGCTCATCTGCTGGCTCAATCTCCAAATGCCTTCAATGGCCAAGGCTAGGCTAGGCTGAAGCTGGGAACTCAACTCAGGTCTTCCAGGTTGCAAAGACCCAAGTACTTGAGCCATCGCCTGCTATCTCCCAGGGTGCACAGTAACAGGAAGCTGGAATCAGGAGCAGAGCTAGGACTCAAACCCAGGCACTCTGATATAGGATGCAAGCATCCTCAGTAGGATTTTAATCACTACGCCAAATGCCTGTTCCCAAAGTAAAATTTTTAAGATACATTTTTCTTTTTTTTCAATCTCACCATATTTTTATTCTTATGGAATTTCTTAGGAGGCAGTTATGAGAGGCAGAAGCAATGCGGAGGTTGGAGTGACCTAAACGCGCGGCAGGCACCATGAGCCTCCTCAACAAGCCCAAGAGCAAGAAGACCCCCGAGGAGCTGCAGAAGCAGGAGGAGGAGGAGTTCAACACTGGCCCGCTCTCCATGCTCACGCAGTCAGTCAAGAACAATGCCCAGAAGTTCATCAACTGCCGCAACAATAAGAAACTGCTGGGCTGCCTGAAGGCCTTCGACAGGCCCTGCAGTGTGGTGCTGAGAACGTGAAGGAGATGGCAAGGGCAAGAAGTCCAAGCCGGTCAACAAGGACCGCTACATCTCCACGATGTTCCTGTGTGGGGCTCCGTCATCATGGTGCTGCACAACCTGCTCATCGCTCATCGCTGGCAAGCAGGGGCTCCCTGCCCCAGACCTGCCCTGTGTCCCGGCATCAATAAAGCCTGTGTGTGTTTAAAAAAATAAAAAAAGAGCTGGCGCCGCGGCTCAATAGGCTAATCCTCCACCTTGCAGCGCCAGCATACCAGGTTCTAGTCCCGGTCGGGGCACTGGATTCTGTCCCGGTTGCCCCTCTTCCCGGCCAGCTCTCTGCTGTGGCCAGGGAAGGCAGTGGAGGATGGCCCAAGTACTTGGGCCCTGCACCCCATGGGAGACCAGGAGAAGCACCTGGCTCCCGTGTTTGGATCAGTGCAATGCGCCGGCCGCAGTGCACCGGCTGCGGCAGACATTGGAGGGTGAACGAACAGCAAAGGAAGACCTTTCTCTCTGTCTCTCTCTCACTGTCCACTCAGCCTGTCCAAAAAAAAAAAAAAGGTAAATAAGGTAGTAATACTGTTGTAAGAGCTTCTTTATGGCTGAGAAAAGCAAAGAAATGGTCTATTACAGAATTTATTTTCCTGGATCTTCCATGAAATTCTGTAACTAGCAAAGAAATCTGGACAAGTCATCAGAATGGTAAGCGAGGAGCATGGAAACGTTGTGTGCATGCTTAGAAAGTAGGGACAGGGGCCAGGGTCGTGGCATAGTAAGTTAATCCTCTGCCTGCGGCGCTGGCATCCTATATGGGCGCCGGTTCTAGTCCCACTTCCAATCCAGCTCTCTGCTATGGCCTGGGAGAGCAGTAAAAGACGGCCCAAGTCCTTGGGCCCCTGCATCCACGTGGGAGAGAGACCTGGAAGAGACGCCTGGCTTCTGGGTTTGGATCGGTGCAGTTCCGGCCATTGCAGCCATTTGGAGAGTGAACCAAAGGGAGAAAGACCTCTCTCTCTGTCTCTCCCTCTCATTGTCTGTAACTCTACCTCTCAAATAAAATAAATAAAAATATTAAAAAAAAGAAAGGGACAAAGAGTAATCAGTGTTCTAAAATTTGCAGTAAGAATATCTGTACCACACATACATGCAACCAAAACAGTGCAGAGAGAATAGAGAGAGGCAGGGAATGCTATAGGCCAGCAAGATGATTCCACTAGGAGAGCCATCTGCTAATGACACGGCAAAATCTTCACGTAGAAATTCAAAAGATTCAGAAACAGGTATGCATGGAGTTCATTTCTTTTTAACAAACTCTATACCATGGAAATATAATAAATGGGGATGGCTCTTTCACTAGTATTTTATTCAATACATTTATTTGAAGCTAATAAAACTTGTTTAAATTGGCTGATGGGACACACAACATAATAGGAAATATTTGAAAAACACGTATCTGACAAAAGATTAGTATCCCAAATGTATCAGCAACTTAAAAAAAAAAAAAAAAAAAAAAAAAAACCTCAGCAACAAAAAGACAACCAATCCAGTTGAGAAATGGGCAAAGGATTTCAATAGACAGTTCTCAAAATAAGAAATAAAAAAATGGCCACCATCACTATCAGGGAAATGCAAATCAAAAGTACAATGAAGTATCACCTCACCCCTGTCAGAATGGCTAAAATCTAAAACACAGAGAGTACCAAATGCTGGCAAAGATGTGGACAAAGGGGAAGTTACACACTGCTGGTGGGAACGTAAATTAGTGCAGACACTGTGTAAAGCAGTGTGAAGATTTCTTCAAAAACTAGAAATAGATTTGCATACAATCCAGTAATCCCACTACTGAGTATAAACCCAAAAGATATCTATCAAAGAGATACCTACACCACCATGCTTACAGCAGCAGTGTTTACATTAGCCAAAACTGGGGGGCTGGCACTGTGGCATAATAGGCTAAGCCTCTGCCTGCAGCGCTGGCATCCCATATGGGCATAAGTTCGTGTCCTGGTTGCTCCTCTCTTGATCCAGCTCTCTGCTTATGGCCTGAGAAAGCGGCAGAAGATGACCCAAAGCCTTGGGCCCCTGCACCACATGGGAGACGTGGAAAAAGTTCCTGGCTCCTGGCTTCAGATTGGCCCAGCTCTGGCTGTTGCGGCCATCTGGGGAGTGAACCAGTGGATGGAAGATTTTTCTTTCTGTTTCTCTGTCACTCTGACTCTCAAATAAATAAATAATTAAAAAAATTTTTTGGAACCAACCAAGGTGTCCATATACAGATGAATATCCATATAAAATATGGTATATACACACAATGAAATATTATTCAGCTATAAAAAGAGTGAAATTCTACCATTTGAAGCAAAATGGACACAACTAGAGGATATCAGGTTGAGTGAAATAAGTCAGATCCAGAAAGATAAATACCACATGCTCTGCCTTATATGTGGGAGCTAAAATTTAAAAAACAAACAAAAAAGAAAGGAAAAAAGAGAGGAACGTCTATGTATCAGCTTTGCTGCAAATATAGTTTTGTAAAACTTTGTCTTATACTTTTATCAAACTAATGGTTAAGAATGTTATACTACTTTAGTTTTAATGATCTGTGATAACTTTAAAGTTTACTAAATATGAGTGAAATGGTCATTTTTCCATTAAATTACTATATATAACCATTGTCTATATTCCCACTAAGTTACAGTATTCTTGCTTTTTACTTGTTAAATTTCTCATTTGGTGAAGTATTAAGCCTTTTGGATTGGCACAATGCCGGCCATAGCGGCCATTTAGGGATAAATTAAAACTTTAAATTAAATTAAATTAAATTAAACACTTTAATTTTAAAGTGTTATCTCAAAAAAAAAAAAAAAAGGGGGTGGGGGAGAAGAGGATGAGAGGGAAGAATGAGAGAGGGAGTAAGGGAATATTATTATGTTCTTAGAATTGTATCTGGAGCCAGCGCTGTGGCACAGTGAATTAACACCCTGGCCTGAAGTGCTGGCATCCCATATGGGTGCGGGTTCGAGACCCGGCAGCTCCACTTCTGAATCAGCTCTCTGCTATGGCCTGGGAAAGCAGTAGAAGATGGCCCAAGTCGTTGGGCCTCTGCACCCGCATGGGAGACCTGGAAGAGTCTCCAGGATCCTGGCTCCTGGCTTCAGATCGGCGCGGCTCTGGCTGTTGCGGCTAATTGGGGAGTGAACCATCAGATGGAAGACCTCTCTCTCTCTCTCTCTCTCTGTAACTCTTTCAAATAAATAAATAAATCTTAAAAAAGAAAAAAGGATTGTATCTATGGGGCTGGCACTGTGGTATGGTGGGTAGAGCCACTGCCTGCAGTGCTGGCATCCCATGTGGGTGCCGGTTCGAGTCCTGGCTGCTCCACTTAGGGTCCAGCTCACTGCTATGGCCTGGGAAAGCAGTGGAAGATGGCCCAAGTATTTGGGCCCCTGATCCTACATGGGAGATGGGGAAGAGGCTCCTGGTTTCTGGCTTCGGATCAGCACAGCTCCGGCCATTGTGGCCAACTGGGGAGTGAACCAGTGGATGGAAGACCTGTGTGTGTGTGTGTGTGTGTGTGTGTAACTTTCTCTCTGACTTTTAAATAAATAAATAAATCTTTAAAAAAATTGTATCTACAGGGGCCAGGGCTGTAGCACAGTAAGCTAAATCTATGGACTGTGGTGCTGGCTTCCCATTATAGGCACCGGTTCAAGTCCCAGATGTTACACTTTCTAATGGGATAGAATGAACATGGTCTCTGAGGATAAGCACAGATCATATTCCTCAACAGAGACACTCACTGACAAATAATAGAGCCCACATCCTGCAGCTAAAGCCAGCTCTCCTGGAAATCACCCTCAAGCTTACACCAGATAACACTCTCTCAGGCTGGCTGCTACTGCCCAAACTAGAGTCTGCATAATGCTTTAGGGTTACTTCTACTGACAATCCAGGCCTACTTATTTCCTTTTCTCTTTATCTTGACTAAAACGTTTATCTCAAAATTTAACAAGAAGCCACAATAGAAAAAAAAATACCCAATTTGACTGTTTTAATATTTCCATGTTCCTAAGTATTACTTGCCCATATGCAAACATACTTTTTTTTTTACAGGTAGAGTTAGACAGTGAGAGAGAGAGAAAGGTCTTCCTTCCATTGGTTCACTCCCTAAATGGCCGCTATGGCCGGCATTGTGCCAATCCAAAGCCAGGAGCCAGGTGCTTCCTCCTGGTCTCCCACACGGGCGCAGGGGCCCAAGCACTTGGGCCATCCACCACTGCCTTCCTGGGCCACAGCAGAGAGCCAGACTGGAAGAGGAGCAACTGGGACCAGAATCCGGTGCCCATATGGGATGCCAGCGCCGCAGGCGGAGGATTAACCAAGTGAGCCACGGTGCTGGCCCCTGCATACATACCTTCCAACAACACAATCACGGTACAGATAAGCCTTCTTATGGTTGCCTCTGTTTTCTGTTGTGTCAGAGCCTTCCTGACCACTTTGATTAATCTGATTAAGTTACAAGTCACTCTTATTATCTGTCTAGTATATTTTCTGCTACATACAGCATCTGTGAGGCTTTAAATTCGGAAATACTTATTAATGGGAAAAGGCAAAAGCACAGGAGCCAGAGAGTGAGACAGGAAGCCACAAGCAGGAAGACAGTGAGATACCTGCCCCACTGCCTGCCTGACAATGACCCAGCCAGATGCTCAGCCACCGCCCTGATCAGTAACTTGCAGCAGTTGCACAGCTGGCAGAGCTGGAAGTCCTTCCCCAGCTTTCACTAGAAAACCGCTCAGCCTGTGCAGGGGAGGGGGTGTCTTTGGTCTCTGGGACTGAGGACCCCTCTCAGGTTTATTCTCTAATAAACCTGTCCCAGCTGTCAAGTTGCCTCTTTCCTTTTCTGATTTTTTTTTTTTTTTTTTTGGACAGGCAGAGTAGACAGTGAGAGAGAGAGAGACAGAGAGAAAGGTCTTCCTTTTTTGTTGGTCCCCCCCCCCCCCCCCAAAGACCACTATGGCCGGCGCACTGCGCTGATCCGAAGCCGGGAGCCAGGTGCCTCTCCTGGTCTCCCATGTGGGTGCAGGGCCCAAGCACCTGGGCCATCCTCCACTGCCTTCCCAGGCCACAGCAGAGAGCTGGACTGGAAGAGGGGCAACCGGGACAGAAACAGGCGCCCCAACCGGGACTAGAACCTGGTGTGCCGGCGCCGCAAGATGGGGGTTTAGCCTAGTGAGCTGCACCGCCAGCAATCCTTTTCTGATTCTTTCACTGCTGCATATTGTTCCGAACATGCGTAAAGCAAAACACACTCCTGGTAATCCAACTATGACTGTAGATACTGCTGAAGTTTTAAAACTTAAAACATGGGGGCTGGCGCTGTGGTGTAGGAGGTACAGCCACGCCTGCAGTGCCGGCATCCCATATGTGCGCCGGTTTCAGTCTCGGGTACTCCACTTCTGATCCAGCTCTCTGGTATGGCCTAAGAAAGCAGTAGAAGATGGCCCAAATCCTTGGGCCCCTGCACCATGGGAAACCTGGAGGAAGCTCCTGGTCCTGGCTCCGGATTGGTACAGCTCTGGCTGTTGCGAGCATCTGGGGAGTGAACCAGCTGATGGAAGACCTGTCTCTCTCTCTCTGCCTTTCTGTAACTCTTTCAAGTAAATAAATAAATCTTAGAAAACAAACAAAACAAAACCTCAAAACATACCATATGGTCTTTATTTGACAAGTCGTATTTCAGTGCAAATGACTTCACTCTTCCTACATACACGGTATTGTAAAATTTGATAAGATCACCTCTTTCCTCTTTCACAGGTCCACTGGAACAGTCAGGTGTTTTTGTGGCATCTTCCAAGTCTTTTAAAAAGAATTCAGCATTGTGACAGCTTTACTTACATAAATTTGTAATTCAAAGTATAATACTCTATAAAAATACATAAATCTTAATGTAAGAAACTGTTATTTTCAGAGAAGGTTCAGACATTGACTTGTATTATTTATAAATCAAATTGAGGTGCAGAGAAATGCAAACATGTGAACTGAGGGTGGTGCTCTTATCTCCAGACACCACATCACCAAGATTGTTTTTTACAAACATGCCTTCTGATAACAACAGGGTCTGCAGATATTCTTACTGGATCCTTGAAAAAGTGAAAAGATTCTCAAAGGTACAGCATATTATCCTTACAGGTTAAGAAAGCAGCAAATGAAGTGCTTATGTTTATCTTTCTGCAAACACATGGGAGGGGACAGGTATTCTAGGAGCCATATTTTATATTTAAAATTATTTTTGTTTCCTTTTGAAGTTGTATTTATTTATTTGAAAGGCAGAGTGATAGAAGAGACAGAGAAAGAGATCTTTCATTTGCTGTTTTATACCCTAAATGCCTGCAACAGGTGAGACTGGGCAGGCAAAGCCAGAAATCAAGGACTCCATCTGGTCCACCATGTGGGTGACTTGGGCCATTATCTGCTGCCTCCCAAATACATCAGCAGGAAGCTGGATTGGAAGCAGAAGCAGGACTCGATCCCATGCACTTCAGTATTGGATGCTTAACCTGCTATGATACAGCACCTGCTCCTATTTTTGCTTATTTGAAAGGCAGAGAGGGGTAGAGTTATCTCCCAATCTGTCATCTGCTGGTTCACACTCCAAATGCCCTCAAGAAGTAGGGCTAAGACACACTGAAGCCAGGAGCCAGAAACTCAACCAGGGTCTCCCATGTAGGTGGCAGGGACCAAACTCCTTGAGTCATCGTCTGCTGCCTCCCAGGATGTACATCAGCAGCAAGCTGGATCAGGAGTGGATCTGGGACTGAACCTAGCACTCCAATATGGAATACTGGTGTACTGGTGTGCCAAGCAGTGTCTTAACCACTGTCAAACACCTGCCTAAGCCTTGATTTCCTTTCCACAATAAGAAACTGGCGGTGAGTTTTTAGTCAGCATCCTCAGTTGCGAAATGACAGCTTGCCTAGAGGTGCTATCCTATTTATTGTTGCACACTGAGAGAGCTTGTGACACCAACTTTATCATACTACTTTTTGGAAGAAAAGTATTACAAACCATTGACATACAAGAACCAGCTGTTTATAGGAGCTAAGAAATCCATGGCCAATTACAAAGAATTTGGCACATGAAAAAAATGTACTTGTTCTCAAGATATTGTCCTGCCACATTGAGAACACATGTAGAAGCACGTCTTCACTTTAGGAAAACCAAAAAACTCAAACATGGTCCAGATCTATTCCAATTTTAAGACAGACAGACAGACAGACACACACACACAGAGTCAGCGCTGGGAAAGCAGCAGAAGACCCAAGTGTTTGGGCCTCTGCACCCACATGGGAGACCTGAAAGAAGCTCCTGGTTCCTGGTTTCTGTCTGGCCCAGCCCTGACTATTGTGGCCATTTGGGGAGTGAATCAATGGATGAAGATCTCTTTCTGTCTCTCCTTCTCTCTCTCTAACTCTGCCTTTTAAATGAATAAAATATTCAAAAACAGGCAACATGGATAGGATGAATGAATTGTCTCTACAAGAAGTCTGTTATAAAAGCCAGCTTGAGCCGGCGCCGTGGCTCAATAGGCTAATCCTCCACCTAGCGGCGCCGGCACACCGGGTTCTAGTCCCGGACGGGGTGCCGGATTCTGTCCCGGCTGCCCCTCTTCCAGGCCAGCTCTCTGCTGTGGCCAGGGAGTGCAGTGAAGGATGGCCCAAGTACTTGGGCCCTGCACCCCATGGGAGACCAGGAGAAGCACCTGGCTCCTGCCATCGAATCAGCGCAGCGTGCCGGCCGCGGCAGCCATTGGAGGGTGAACCAATGGCAAAAGGAAGACCTTTCTCTCTGTCTCTCTCTCTCACTGTCCACTCTGTCTGTAAAAAAAAAAAAAAAAAAGCCAGCTTGGCGCCGTCTCTTGTATGCACCTCTTGCCGTGTGATCTGTGCCACCTTGGGACTCTATCTACAAAGTCCCCACCAAAACGAAGGCCCTCACCAGATGTAGTCCCTTGAGCTTAGACTATCAAGCCTCTAGATCTGTAAGAAATAAATGTCTTTTCTTTATAATCTACTCAGGCTCATATATTGAGTTACAGCAACTTGGTAAGAGCTAAGAGCTGTTGTAGTTATTCTCATTATATGCATTGATGAAAATTATTTAATGTCCTCCTTGGATTAGAAATTCCTGGGGCAGGGCAGGTATTGTGGAGTAACAGCTTAGGCTGCTGCCTTTGATGTGGCATCCCATATGGGCACCGGTTCAAGTCCCAGCTGTTCTACTTCTGATCCAGCTCCCTGCTAAAGCTCTTGGGAAAGCAGTAAATGGCCCAAGTCCTGGGGCTCTGCACCCATGTGGGAGATCTGAATAAAGCTTCAGATTGGCTCAGCCCTGGCTATTGCTGCCATTTGGGGAGTCAGACAGTGGATGGAAGATCTTTCTATATCTTTCCCTCTCCCTCTCTGTAACTCTGCATTTCAAATAAATAAATTAAATAAATCTTAATAAAATAATTTCTTAGACAGAAACTATGGTCTCCATATTTCTTTGTTATGCCTATTCTAGTTGTTAATTAGTTGTTAATATTCCTTTTTTTTTTTTTGACAGGCAGAGTGGACAGTGAGAGAGAGACAGAGAGAAAGGTCTTCCTTTTGCTGTTGGTTCACCCTCCAATGGCCGCCGCGGCCGGCGCGCTGCGGCCGGCACACCGCACTGATCCGATGGCAGGAGCCAGGTGCTTCTCCTGGTCTCCCATGGGGTGCAGGGCCCAAGTACTTGGGCCATCCTTCACTGCACTCCCTGGCCACAGCAGAGAGCTGGCCTGGAAGAGGGGCAACCGGGACAGAATTTGGCACCCTGACCGGGACTAGAACCTGGTGTGCCAGCGCCGCAAGGCAGAGGATTAGCCTAGTGAGCTGTGGCGCCGGCCAAATATTCCTTTAAAAATGTATTTACTTATTTATTTTAGAGGCAGAGAGAGAGAGAGAGAGCACTAGCTCCCATCCATTGGTTTATGGCATAAATGTCCACAATGGCTGGAGTTGGGCCAGGTCAAAGTCAAGAGCCAAGAATGCAACCCAGGTCTCCCATGTGGGGGTGGGGAACCCAATCACTTGAGCCATCACTAGTGCCCTCTAGGGTCTCCACTGGCTTGACGCTGGAGTCAGAAGCCAGAATTGGGAGTTGAATCCAGACATCCTGATTCAAGTTGTGGGCATCTTAACCACTAGGCTAAACATCTGCTCCCTAGTTGTTAATCTTTAATTAAGGTAAAGAGCTATACTTTGTTTGCATGAACTGAACATTTAACACTCTCTTGGACCTTACATTTCTAAACATAATTTTAATTAGTCATGTTTTCATTTCAAAATAGAAAGATGTCTACGTAGGAGATCTCTACCTTCCCACCTCATTAAAGATCCTATCATTTTGAAAGTAAGGCCTCACCAGGTCTAATAATTATCTTATAGATACACTTCAAGAGACAGAAATTATGGAAGACAGGAGACAGAATATAATCAAGGTTTTGCCTGTAGGGTGCTTTAATTGTCACAAATCTCTTTCCCATCAGAAGGTAGTGACCTCTGTTTAATAAAATTTAAAATGCATGCTACACACTTGATACATAATGAACTACTGAACTATTATGATTTTATAATTCTCCCTATGCTGTCACAAACAAATGTCTTTTTGATTACTATATATCATTGTCAAGCAATTAAAATATCATCTTATAAAGCCCATCCGAGAATGTCACAAGGCCTTAGGAGAATGGAGATATTATCTGCAGAGCTCCAGAAAGACATGTTAACTTTCTTAGCCTGAGTCCTTGGCTTGACAATTTGGTAAGGCTTTCAAGCACAAGTGGGAAGGGAGAAGGCAAATTACCCCAGGGCTGCGGGTGACCGAGATGGTTTTATATGCTAAGGCAGTACATGTGCATGTCCATCCAAGGGAAGAGACACTGAAGAGAGCAGTAGATAACCATTTCTTGAGGAAACTGGTTTCCCAAGTAAGGCATACTCAGATTGTCTGGGAGGCACACACAGAGGAAACCTCCATCCATCACTCCTACAGGAGCTGCTCAATGAATGTGGTCCTCAGAGGGAGCACTCCTCATTACATTGTGATCCTTACTTAAAAATAGAGAGGGTAAAGAAGCCAAATTATTTTAAGATGAAAGAATACCAGAATTTATTTAAGAACGAAAGAGTCAGGCTAAGATATAATGGGCTTGACAAGCACAGTAGCATTCCCTGCAATAGCATTTGGTATTTATTTCGCATTTCTCCCATTGCATCTTCCCTCATCCTTTTTCGCTCTGCATCATAACAGCATACGGGAAATATTTCAGATTAGCTTTCTGATTGAGAGAGCAGTGGCATTTAGTTCAGTTTACAGAAAAGTCACTGGCCGCAGATCAATTAAAAACTTCAGTGTTGGGGCGGGCATTGTGGAGCAGTGGGTAAAGTCACCACCTGTGATGCTGCATCCTGGGTGCAAGTTCGAGTATCAACCACTTCCAATCCAGCTCCCTGCTAATGCTCCTGGGAAAGCAGCACAGGATAGCCCAAGCACTTGGGTCCTTGCACCCATGTGAAAAACCTGAATGAAATTCCTGGCTCCTGGCTTTGGCCTGGCCCAGACTCAACCATTGAGGCCATCTGGGAGGTGAACCAGCAGATGGAAGATCTGTCTCTCACTCTCTCTCTGTAATTCTTCCTTTCAAATAAATAAATCTTAATAAGAAATCTTCAGTGTTTTTATACCATTTGAGTGGTATTTTGATAGTTTCTTGTGAACTCTAAAAGTATAATTGAAAAATAAATAAAAATGTGGTATACTTAAATTCCTGTACT